TATACTTAGTAAGAGTAACGTTACCGGAGCTAATTATAGTTTTTAAAGTAGACTCTAACCTATAACGATTATAGGATAAAGCTAGAGCTACTAATAAGCGTTATTAAGGTGCCTTTACCATAATAGTAGCAGGAGAATAAAGCTTTCCCCCCGAGCTAGAACTTAAAATATAGATCGCTGAGTATAGAACTGATGAAGGACGGCTAATATTTCGTGACTACTTATAGATACTAGAGGATAGCTAAAACAGGGCTAACTACCCGCTATAAGACTATATTATATACGCGATCTATAGCTTAGTAATCGGCGAATATCTAGGTAAGGATAATACTATTACTCTAATCGCTTATTAGTTTTTTTAGCCCGGTATAAATTAAGATATTAAAAGATTTATACGGAATTATAATACATACTAAGCTAGCTATATATAAAGGGGTACGAAAAAAGGATTATTACGCTCACTGCCTATACTAAAGTAAATCTTCTACGATATTATAATAGACTTATAAGAGACTTATTACTTAGACATAAGGGTAAGTATAGATACTTATAGGTAATTACTAACCGACTCTCGAAATCGGTAACGCTTAAAGCGATAGATATTATAGATACTTAAGCCTATACTAAATAATTCTTACTATACTATTATAGGTTTTACGGGATACCGAAGTCTATTATTAGCGATAAGGGGTTAAACTAGATTAGCCGCTTTTAGCGATACTTTTATAACCTCACGGGTATTAAATAATAACTAGGTACTATATATTACCCTTAGACGGATAAAGGTTCTAAACGCGTTAACTAGGAAGTCTAAGCCTATTTACGAGCGTATACCTATTACGCCTAAGATAACTAGAATACGCTGCTACTAGTAATATAAATAGCCTTAAATAACCGGGTAAACATAATAATCTAAATAAGCCCGTTCTTCCTATGATACGGGTACTACACGAATTCTCTTTAAGTTAATAAGACTATACCTACCGATAAGCGCGAGGCTTCTGCGTAGCACTTACTAAGTTATTTTAAGGAAGCTACCTAGTTCACCTAAGCTATAATAGCCGCTATATAACTACGCTAGGAGGAGTTATTAAACCGTTAGTATTACCCGGCTAAGAGGTTCGAAAAGGATGACCTTATATAGTTAGATACCGGGGACTACTCCTAGCTATAACCGTTAAAGAAACGTACCTAGCTCTACTATAAGTATAAAGTTATAAAGGTTATTAATTCCTATATCGTAGAACTAGATATCCCCTTATATATCTATAACCGTTTCCACGTGGATCTTCTATAGTAAGCCGACTATAACCCCTTACTAGGGTAAATAATAATAAACCCTTAGCCGCTACCTATTTATGAAAGGCTAGATAAAAAGGAGGAATAAATAGTAGAGGAAGTCCTCTATGCCTATACCCGAAGGCGAGGTCGTAGTAAGGTCCGCGAGGTATTAGTATAATAGGAGGGCTATATAGAATTAATATAGGAACCGCTTAAGAGCCTACGGGAGATATAAGTACTTAACGAATTCGAGAAGAAACACGGCCCGGTATAGTCGAATAATAGGCCTTTATAATAGTATACGAAGGAGGTATAAATATAAAAAAGGCTAATATAGTAGCGAGGAGGATAATGACCGAAAGCGAGATTATATTAGGGTTATACCCCCGCGCTACTTAACTTATAAGTAGGAAAGAACTAAGTAAAATCCTAAAAATAATATAAACGGCCTACTCTCTTATAATCTTACCCTTTTCTAGCTCCTCCTCGTATAAGGCTATACTACCCTTAGCGGTACCCACCTATGACTCTTTTACTAGCTTAGGATAAGCCGCTAAGGAGGTTATACCCTCCTCGCTATTAAGGATAAGAGTAGTAATAACCTCCTAGAGAGGAGCCGAGACGAGCGTAGCCTTAGGAGTAGCCCCCGGATTATTATTAGCAGCGAAAGGAGTTATAGCTACGTAGTGCTTATATATACGACGGACAGAGTAAGTAAGGTTATAAACCTTTTACGATATTTATAGTAATATCGTTATTATTATCCTCTAGCTTTTACGATATATTCTTAAGCGTCTTATCTATACTATATATAAAGGCGGCGATATTATTAAGGGCTTATACTATACTTACCTAGAACCCGGTAATAACAGATAGGGCGGTAGCGGGCAGTAAGGTAATAGCGGTAGGCGGCGCGGCGGCGGGAGCGGGAGTAGTAGTAGGGGCGGGAGCGGCGATAAGAGTAAGGGCGATAATAGGAGCGGGAGCTTATAAAGGACCTACGATACTATTACCCGATTTAGCTTAATTAAGGGTAACTTAGAAATAACTCAACGCTTCCTAGAATTGGCGGCGATTGTACGCAGATAATTAGTATAAAAGTCGCGATATAAGAGGATATAAACTTATATTATTATCTTCGCCGTCCTTATTTATAGTATAAGCGGTATTCTATAAGGCGTTAGTAGTATTATAGGCGGTAGCGGGGAGCTATATCGCCTATTAGTTATAGTTATTATACACCTAATATGGACTACCTATAGAAGAGCACTTACACGTTTAATAGGAATACTCGTAGTACTTAGTATCGGCCCTAGCCGCGCTAAGGCCTGACTAGTAATAATACTTAATACTATATTCTTATTTATACAACCGGGTAGCGTACTACGAGTAAGGGGCGATATAGCGGGGTATTAGCGGGTTCTTAGGCGCGTGTTATTTCATAGGGGGGTGGGGGGGGGGGGGGGACAGTCTATTTATTATTAGTTACGGCCGACCTCGTAACCCGTAATAATAAGGACCACGAACTTGTATTATTATCACTATTACCCTTATAAGGGCGCTTATTAGGGGACGCGAAATCGGATATCTACTAATAGTTAGCTATAGCGCTAAATTACGGGTAAGGAGTATATAAACTTATAGTAAGGAGACTAGCAGTAGCTTAAGAGATAAGCTATTACTCGGCGACATTGGTTATACTATTAGGGGACCTATAAGGTATCTCGGGGCTACTTATAAGGTAAAAGATAATTAAAAGAAAATAGCTAAAAAGAAGCTATAAAAGGGGAAGAAAATAGTAAAAACGAAGAATAGTAGGAGGTTGATTTTATTACCCTTTCTACGCTGTTTAAGTGGAAGGAATAACCCCGGGTTATATATTCGGTAGGTATATCGTTTATAACGAGTATATACGCCGGCGAGGAGCGTACGATAGTACCGCTATATAAGAGCTCCTTTATACTATTTTAGCCTTAAAAGGATCTTAGCTGCTACGGATTACCTCCCTTTAAAGGAGCCTTTAATACAATCGAATAAAGGAGGCTATTTTTAGATTATACGTAGGGAGGCTAGGGTAATATAAGGTTATAACCGGGCAACCACGATACGACCACGACCTTGCCTCCGGCGTGGGGGGTATATTATAGGCTATAGCCCGCGGAATTGTCCCCGGTAATAGCCGGGACTAAGAAGCACGGACCCCCTAGTAAGGCCCGTGTAATTCTATATATACTTAGCCGCCTATATACCGCGTAGACTTTTCCTTTCCTCCTTTCCTTCCTTAGTTCGAATAAACTATATTTTCGGCCTTAATACGTGAACAACTTTTAATAAGCCGTCACGGTATTAGACTATTATTTTAGAGCTCTTATAGGGGCTTTAACCGATCAACGCTATTTCTGGAAATATATAGTAGTACGTGTTAATATTATAACTAGGCATAGTGTATACGCGGCAGGGTTCCCTTTACCGAAGCGTAGATTCACGGCGTTTAGAAGAGGAACGGTTAGCTAAAGTATTAGCGGAGGAGGTAGCGGGCTTTTTGACTTTTTTTTTCCTATAACCTCCTTTCCTACTAGGCTTAGCCGTAGTATCTAAGGTATTATTACCCTTATCACTTTTAGTATATAATACCGGAGATACTATAGCGTAGTGGTTACCGCGTTTTCCTTAATCCTTAAGCCTAGTCTCGATATATCGTTAACCTAGGGTATAAAAGCCCTCGGAGAGAACTAATTCCTTATCTAAAAGGCCTCCCTCGGCTTCGGTCTAGTCACGCCTAGCTATTATACGTATCCTTTAAAGAAGTCTACTACCTAGATATATATTACGGGTATCGATTCGATATTTTTAAGGCATAGTAATAACTCCTGCTATCTTAATAAGCACTCCTATAACTTCTTTAGGCTTATTAGCGCGGTATAAACCTATTCGTTATATTCTTCGTAGGTATTAACGTGCCGGGTAGCTATATAGTAAGCAGTATCGCAGCGAATAGCTTTATATACCTTATAAGGAGTAGTATTACATAATAGCAGCTTACGGCTCTTATCGATAGTATTAGTCTTCTATATTAATACGGCGCTAATACCCTTAATATATTTAACGTGTTTACCCCTTTAAATCTTCTAACGCTATATAGCCGACTTATAGGTACGCTATCTAGTAGATATTAGATCTAATAGCTATATAGCCGTAGCTTCTACTTATAGGATAGCGTTCGAAGCTTAGAAGATAGCGTAGGAAGGCAGAGCAGGCCTTTAAGGAGGGGGGTGATAATTATTAGGGCGTGGATATTCCTATATATCATTATTAATGGCTATAGCTTCGTATTAACTACGCTAGAACTCCTAGTCGCGATGGCTTTTATAGATAATAGGCTTATAGTCCGATATTTTAATACTTATAGATAGACTCGCTATATCAGCGTAGCTAGATAGCTTCTTAAGCGGTAGTAAGAATGGTAAAAGGATAGATCTTTACTTAGTAAATAAGACTCTGAATTATTAGATAAAGCGTAGTTAAAATCGTTATAAAATAGGTTAAAATTTGATTAAGGTAATTATGTATAATTATAACTGTGCAGGACTGTCAGAGAATTCCTGCCACCGTAATATCGGCGGTGAAGATTCTGCAGGTGTCTACCCGGATTATAATCTCGGCAATCCGGCCCGTTACGTAACCGTAAAACTACGGTCTGTTCAACAGATCTTAGCTAACCTCGCAACTCCATCTTGTCGTGTCCAATCCGGGAGCCTTGCTGCCCGGATTTTCCTTCTAATAACTGACTTATACGTTAGAGAACCAGCATCGGGATGTCCAATCAGCTTTTTGGTATTATTCCCGCTGGCCACCCAGTCGTGACAGAGCCGGTCTCGTCGCCTTCAGAGGTTTCGGCTGTCTACACAATCTCTACCGCCCGACCTGTCTCACACATAGTCGTCTTCATGCTGCCGGGCGTGGCGCTTCCGCCCGATACGGCCGCAGCTATCTACTTCGCTCCCGCTGTCACTTCACCCACAGCGACTGGTGCGGTCCCGGACTTTCGGTTTCTAGGTGGGGTCGGTCCTGGCAAAGAGAGTGCCATTTTCAAGATCAAACCTGGAGCAGCGGGGTCTTCTGGGGATGGCACAACACTAGCGTCTCCGAACAACTTCATGATCGCCATATCCATCGAAGAAGCCGGCTCCGTGGCTTCCCGAATCCAAGCAAAAGCGTCGGAGTCTGTCGATAGAGCTGTCCCGTCGACCACCCTTCTTGCGCAAAGAATCATCCAAAACGCCTTCAATTTTCTATCAGGTTTCAGCGGCACCATTGGTCACGGAGGCGTGGAGGTGGTGCCTCTTAAGGCGTTCCAGGAGTGGTGGAAGAAATTCGAGGCCCGAGTCAGGTCCGATCCGGGCTTTTTGGAAAGGCAGCAAGACTGATATCCCACGGACGCGCGCGTCTTGGGCTGTATGATGCTTATTGGCACCTGACGAGTTTCTTGGTCTTCCTCGATGTCCTCAATGATCCACGACTAGTTGCCGTGCGATTATTCCAATGACCGAGAAGACCACCATCCCAGTCCGCCCTATCACTATATACCATATGGAACTCGTATCGCTGAGAATCTAATATTAGGGTCCTAACCCTTTCAAGCCCAGATTAGCTCCGAGATGACCCCTGAGTATGTATACACACGAGTGCGAAATGATGCGGTATTACACAGCAGAAAAACGGTACATGATAGCTGCGCAGTCCACACTCTTCCAAGTGAGACCAAGGCCGCCATCCGGGAGGCATTTAGGGGCCAAAGTGAAGATCCGTCAAAGCGTGTCCCCTTAATTCCAAACCGCCATTAGTTCATTCAGACGTGAGATGCTCGACTGTGCGCTCGGGTATACCAACGCGCCAGCATTTCTTTTTCTTAGAGAGGCCGTGATGGAGCTTTCAACCGGGTTGGGCTCCCTGCTCGACTCCTCTTCCCGGCATTCACCAGATTAGGGACCAATCTCTCTCTGCTTTCGGTACGAACCGCGACGCCGCCGCGGTCTAAGGACTGCCCGAATCTTGCCTCCTCAAAGGGTTCCAGGGTGATGTTGGGTGCGAATAGCCGAGGTGACCTGCGAGCTTGCAAAACGTCATTCATATCCGAGACACTGTACTCGTCCGCGTCTAGGTTCCCTAGCTCGAATTGGCCAACGCCCCCTTCCTCCATGAGCCGTTCATAGTAAGGAGTGCGGCGTCCAAATAGCTTGTTTGTGAAAGAGGAACCCCGGCCGAATTTGAGAGGACCAGTAGGGAAGCGATTGAGTCGGAGGGTAGCGCTTATTCGACTGATCCAGCGGGCCCGGCGGTCGCGCTTGTGGAGCAGGAATATCATGAAAGCGGCAAGGAGCACTAACAGGATGATTGTGAAGTTTGTCCTGGCCTTGCCCATAACGTTGCCCACTGCCCCATCCCAGTCATTGCCTTCGTCTAGGCCCAAAGTAGGGTCGTACGTCGATCCAGCCAGCTCAAAGTCAGTGGCACCCGCTACATTGCTGCCGAAACCCACCGGTAAGGAAGCAGACTGGCCCTGTGGAATAATTTGGCCAGAAGCGTAGAGGATCATTTTCCCTAATGTCCAGCTTACCTCCATCCCATCAATTTTGTTCACTGGTTGAAAGGGAGCCCAAGGGCTTTTCTCTTTTGTGGCCTCGATGTTGACGTCGGAGATGTTCAGGCCAGAACTCGGGTCATACTCCATACCAACCCTCGGAAACCCAATACCCTCGTAAAGGATATTTATCAACCAGGACGCTTTAAAACACGCCTCTTGTGCATCCTTTACCTTTCCCTTGGTCCCTATGTGCTCGGCGTCTGCTACAATTCCGTCCCAGTGTCGGCTGCAGAAATCCAAGACCTTGCGTTCATACGTAACGAGATCGTAAGCTTTATGCTTGCCGCTAAACACACCATGGGTCGTATGCCAATACTCGGATACTCCGACGAAGCGATTGATACTGAAATCGATGGTCGGCACATGTTGTCCATTCAGAAGACATGGCTCATCAGGACACGGCGCATCTTTCCCCAGTAGTGGTTCTGTCGTTGCGAGACATTCTCTAAAGTTGCCTGTTCCCACGAGAGTAACCCCGCTGTCTGCCAGAGTGCTGGGCAACGTCCCGTCATCAAGCGTTGTGCGGAGCCCTCGAGGCATACACGGATCGGGAACTTCGAGGTCATCGGGCCGACCGTATGCATCTAGAAGTTGGTGGATGTATCTCTCCCGGGCCTGATTGGCACCGTATCCAAGCCATGAAGTCGTAAAGACCTTGTATTCTGAGACGGTGCCATCCAAATTCCTAAGACGGACGAGTTTGAGGTCTTCGGCATGCTTTTCCGCCTCTGTAGTATTTGGAACAAATGCGATCTGTGCCGATGCGCCACCCATGTCTAGGAAACCATATGTATGGTGGCCGTTGCCGTTTTCAAGATCGTCCGACTTGTCGAACCCACCGAGAAGATAGTTGGCGGCAAGCCACCCGTACAGGCCTTCGGTTTCGCCGGAAATGACTTGTACATTGGTGGAACAGTCGGGGAGCAAGAAATCCGTGTTGTCGCGCAGATATGAGCACATGGCCTGCAGCAGACCTTGTTGCGGTCCCTCAGGAAGCAAGCGCATGCCTGCCGTAGCCATTAGGTAGATGGGTGTATCTGGAACTTTGTCCTCAGAAACCTCGTCCAGCGCAAGTTCCACCAAGGACTCGAGATGGTCGCTCCCTATTATCTCAGGGGCTAAAGCGAAAGACGCCACCCCGGGACGGATCTTCTCGCTGGAAACGAGCGTGATGGTGGGTAACCGGCGGAGGTCCTCGATGGGAACATGTTGGGTTGCTGTCGCGTAGTTTTTCCATTTGTAAATGTATACACGAGTCCCCGAGGAACCAGCATCGAAGACGACGCCGTATCGCCCTGGAAAGCAAAGCTCCGAGTTAGTTGGCTAACGACAGGCATTTCGTGAAGTAGAGACGGGAGAGGCTGATTACAATTGTCCCCCATGTGGCTGAGAATGTTTCTACAACCATGGGAGAAACGCTGTGCTGTATTTTCTCAATTGAGAAGACGCCGCCGAGGACTCGCTGAATGCCTGGCTCGAATAAGTTCTGCTGCTGTCAGAACATCAATTCCAGAATAACGTGACACCAACATTTGTTGACCAGGGCGTGAGATTAACGGTTACGTAACGGGCATGGATTTCTCCCAACACAGCATCCTCCGGAATCGGGGTGGACACCTGCAGAACCTTCGCCACAGATATTACGGTGGCAGAAGTTCCCGAACGGTCGGGGATGATTCTAGGGGTTTTAACGCAGTTACACACACAGATCCACAGATTTACAAGCCTCAATTAAATCAACGGATCGACTGCCGTATTACTGTTCTTCTACGTTATTTTACGGTTACGCTGTAAGTGCCGACCCCGCCTTCTGGAACACCCCCATTTAGAACACCACTTTACACCAAAACACTGCTTTTTAGACCCCTGCTGTTTTATTCAATAAAATAGTAAATATTATAAAGCTAAAACTCTATAGATTAAAAATCAAGTCCTAATAATCTGTTGATAGTTTTTACATAGGTCTAGCAAAAGAGCTATAATATAGCTTAGAAGTTAGGACTTGATTATTTATTTATTTTAGTATATGTTTTCTTTATAACTATTACACGCTATGGCGTGCTGAACTTCCGCCTAACGAAGGGTTATATTAAGGAGGTTATTAGGTCTAACCGCAGAATATAGTCGGCGACCTCGGGTACTTAGCACAGGCCTCCCCTGTGAATAGCTAGTCACGAGTCTAAGCTAATAAGTGAGGCCAAATAATTCTATTATCTAGAACTAAGGAAAGGAAAAGGAAAAGGTAAAAAGACTATCTTACTAGGGGCCGTTATAGATTAGCGGCCTAATCGGTAAGAGGTCTATACGGTATCCTGGCTTAGTAAGGCCAGGACCCTAGCTAATAGGGTTAGCCTATAATATTAACCCCCTCCCCCCTCCCTCGCGGGGGGTTATAAGGGGATCGCTAGGGTTATACGCTCCGTGCGCCCCTTAGAAGCCCTTTACCTATTTCTTACCTTACCTTTACCTTTACTCCTAAGTCACGTTAACCCCTAGGGCTATAACATTACCGTAGTCGTTATAAGGGTAACCTCGCGGTACGCTAGCCTTATCTTTATCGAGTATACAGGACGTATTCGCTCTTCCTGCCTATTCTACCACGTATACTAGTAGTCGCGACATTAAGGGCTCTTATTTACCTGCCCGATTTTCTATTATTATAACGTCGTAATAGGGTAAGTATATAGCCCGTTGTCGCGAGTTCCTCGCTTACGCCTAGCCCTCCTTAACGGAGGTCTTATATAAAGGAATCGGTTTAAGGGAGGTATAAGGCCCTAAATATACGAGCGTATACCTGCCTTTATTCCGTCGTAGGCCTCCCTTAAGGTGGTTTATTCCCCCGGCTCCCTTTTTATAAAAGGAACGGCTATTCCTCGTAGATCCTTATCCTCTTCTTCTTTCGTTTAAACTACGGAGTTTTCGTTAATATAGGTCAAACCGCTACGCTATCCCTTCTAGGCGAAGTCTTAGCTAACTATATATAGTTCTCGAGTTTCTTTTATTTAACTTCTCCTTATAAACCGATACTAATGCCCCCTTATCCCTCTTATTCGTAGCTAAGGTATATTATAGTATTTATACCCCGTTCGCTAATATCTAACCGTGGTATATAGATAGACCCTCTTAAAAGTACTAATATTCCTTAATTTAATATCGAGTCCTTTATTAAGTAAATTTTAGAATACGTAAACTAAGTCTTATACAAAGCTTTACTCGTGCTAGTAATATAGCTTATTAATCGCTAATAGGTAACGATAATATAGTAGATAACGAGTACGAATAGGTCGCTAATAATAGCGACGATTATACTAATAATAATAATAATTAGTATTATTATTATTATTATTCTTACTCTGGTATCCTATCTAATCTATAGGAGCCTAGTTTAGACTATACGGTCCTTCTCGGGTGGCTATAGAGGGGAAAACCCGGGGTCCCGGTGAAAACCTCTATACTCGTCCTTTAATAATAGTAATAATAACAAAGATAACGCTAGCGATAATACTAAAGACCGGGCGGGGTTTATTATCCCTGTCTTAGCCTTAGCTTCCGAAAATACCCGGTCTCCCTATAAATAAGTTTTCGCTTATATCGCCGCCGTTCTTTTATCTAATATAAGCTTCTATAATATAATATAGTCGTGTCCGTTTTACTAAGTTATTTTTAGGACAGTCCTTCCCTTAAGCGGGCTTATAGTTCTAAATATCCTCCCGCCCGCTACTAAACGCCTCCTTATCTTCCCTATATATCGTGGGTCGCTCACGGCTATTTTAACTAGATCTACTATAATTAGTCTAGCCCTAATACCGCCTATAAGAATACTAAGTGCTGATATTGATATTATTACTAATAATATCCTTAATATCCTTCGAGCATATCCTTCGTACTCGAACAAAGGATATCTTCCCCGTAAACCTAGACCGTTCTTTTCGAGTTAGTCAAACAAAGGATCTAGTTCGAGTCAGACAAAGGATTATGATATAACTACGATATCGATCTATATTATGATATTATTACGATATCGATCCTTTTACAAAGAATAAAGGATATTAACCCGTTCTCTCGGTTCGGTTCTTTCTTTCTTTACTCTTAATCTTAATCGTTTTTTCGATCTGAAGAATATATATAATACGCGCGCAGAGATCCTACCTTATAATCCTATTATTACCTTCTTATTTTTTCCACTGCTTTTCGTGACTTTCGTCCCTTCCGCTTATCCGCTATCTTTAAAGATCTTTAAAAGGGTATAAGCCCGGAAAAGCTCGACTAAAGTCTCGAAACAACCCATTCCTTAATTACCTACGGTCGTAACGTAAAAAGAGAAACCTCCTATTCCAAATAATAGTCTCCTTTCCTACCCGATATTCTATTCTATATACTACCAACACTGCCTACCTGCTTACCTACCGACCTACCTACCTATGTACCTATATCTACAATCCTACGGTTCGATTAGTCGGTCGGCTTAGTCGTACGCTTATAAATCTACAAAATCAGAAAAATCATAAAAGCCTACGATTACGTGAATTAAACAGGTGTACTATTCTTTATATAGGAATATAATAACCACTATACTACGAGGGCTATTATAGTTATGAATACTAGCATATCTTTTATTCCTTATAAGTCTTTAATTCTTCTACCTTGGATTTCTATACCTATATATTTTCTAACCGTGGAATCCTATATAAATATCGTGTTTTCTACGCGACAGTAAATCTCCTCGCTCCGCGAAGACCGACTTTAGGATCCTCGCGAATAAAGAAATTAAACCGGCCCTAATATAGATCCGCTGGAATAAATGAATACTATCTTTAGATATAAAGGAATTCTATTATCCGTATATATGGGTATCGTTTTCTTTATTTATAAAGCTTTTTTTTTCCTTTTTCAAATAAAGAACTATATACCGGTTTCACTTTAGACCCGCACTAATAATGGCATCGCTATAATAACCGCGCCCGTATATAGAATAAAGAAAATAATAAAGAAAAGGACTATTTTCCTTATTTATTTTATAACTTCGTCAGTTCTTATCTAAAATAAATAAAATAAATACCGTTTACGAGCTCCTAAGATACCCGCACAGGCTATACTTAAGGAAATTAACGTGAAGAAGCTAAAGGGTAGTCAGGACTACTAAACCTAGACGATAGCTATATATACCCACTTTGTATATAAGGGAAAGCTTCTAAAAGAGCTTATAAAACCCCTGCCTGAAAATACCTCTAATAAGTCAAAAGAAGAAGATTTAAAGACTACTAGGGATCTACTCTCGGCTCTATAAGATAGGCCCCTAACGCAGGTTTAGAATCTTAATTTTACTTTAGAAATCTAGGAAAAGCTAAAATCCCTATATAAGAAAAAGGGGTTTTAAGCAGACTACGATATCCGTATATCGTCTTTTAACCTAAATATCTTAGAATTCCCCACGCTCGAAGACTTTCTATGAAAAATCTAAGAAAGGCTAATTATGCTTTAAGGAAGGGATATTATTCTACCGAATAAGGTAACTTTTACGTAGACTCTGAATTGCCTGGATAAGCGATATAACGCAGTCACTGCGTAGATCACGTAGGCTCTTCGGCATAATATCGATAGCTATACGTTTAATAAAATCGTTATAGAACTAATAGATATGATAAGGAAAATCGACTCTTCTACCTCGAGGGCCCTACTTATAAAAGTATAGAAAAATCAGAAGAATCAGAAGCAATAGTCGAACAGAGACCAGGGTAGTTAGAAGAACCTCTTCTATAGTAACTGTAAACGGTCTGGATACCTACCGACGAACTATTCCTTTTTATACCCCGAAAAAGCCCCCGTAGGATAGGTCGTTAAGGGGAACTCCTTAGGTTCGAGGAAAAATACCTAAAATCGAATAAATAAATATAGAAAACCTCCGAAAAAGAAGGTGGCACCGTCGAAGCTTTTGATATAAGAGTCTAAAATATTTAATTTCTTCCGTTAGTACGAGTAATAGAAGCTCTTAGGGAAAATAAGTAACGACGAAACTATTAATTTAGCTTTTGATATACCACCTACGGAGGAGCCTTTTTCGGAAGCTAATACCAATACTAAAGCCGGAGATTAGCAGCACGAAGTAGAAGAATTAGAAGAAGAAGAAGAATTAGAAGAAGAAGAAGAATTAGAAGAAGAAGAAGAATTAGAAGAAGAAGAAGAA